GTTCCCTTAACGTTCGATCTTAGAAATCCTAAAAGTACCACCTTTCTGTTACCGAAAGATGATACTTTCCAATAACCAGAAAGGGTTTCTTGGAGAGGCCTTTTCGCAAGACAAAGACCTTCTACTAGACTTCTAGTAACCATTAAAATGGTTAAATCATGAAGATCTAAAACTGCACTAGTTTATAGATAAGACCTTTCTACAACAGTGTAGAAGTAAGAGTAAAATTGCGTTTCACATGCTGCGTGCATTGACGCGCGTTCTTTTCGCTAAACAGAGCTTTTCCTCCAAACCACTGGTATTCAATCGAAAGCGTAAATCTCAACAATTTTAAGACTGTTCTTGTTTTCTTTAAAAAACTATTTATTGCGCTGTAGCAAAGAAAATAAAACTGTGTACCACATACGCGTACTTTTCGCATGACAAGCTCTTCCCTTAGACTATAAGTAATTTTTCGATCGCGTAAATCTCGACGATTCCAATACTTGTTTGTTTTCTGAGAAGATCCTTTTAGTGCACTGAAGCAGAAAAGATAGACTGAGTCCCACAAACACACACGCATTGCTTGTCGGTTTGAATGCCACTGACTGTGTATCGACCGCGCGGCGTAGCAATCGCGCAAAGTGATTCACATGTGGCGCGGGATTTTTGTTATAAAACTTATAATCTTTTCTGCGATTCAATAAAAACTTTGGACAAAATGCATGATTTTCTTTCTACCCGTTCATATGCTTTTTACAGGTTTAGGCTGCTTGAACTTAGGAATATCACCGGGCTTATTTCACAATATGAAATGAATGAAAAGTTTGAGCACAATGAACGATAGAACGAAGTTTGTTCGCAATAGGATAAAACAAGTACGCTTTTGATTTCTCCCAGATTTGGGTTGAAAGAAACCCCTTCAAAAACCCTTTCCGATAACAGTAAAGTGCCCAAAATTTACTTAATGCAGTCATCTGTTGATAAATATTGAGCAAAAGTGCTCCTACACGATAACTACGACGGAGTTTTATACGAGTGTCTCATGGTGACATAATTTTACTATATATCACTTTTAGAAGTAACCAGGACGAAATCTGAGCGTTGATGTTGTCAGGCCAGACGAAATTCTTAGGAGTTATGTGATGGCAAAATACACTATCAAATCGGTTGACCATCGAGTCTACCCAAGAAATCTCAGCGAACACAATACGTGATTAAGGGCATGTAAACCAAATGTAGTAAAGTTCACCATAAAAGTTACGATGAGGCAGAACGAATGATATGGATGAGCATTCTATCGTAGAGATCGTAGAATTTTTTGTGGTGTCTAATAGATGTGAAAGAGATATTGGAAAGAACGTACTATTAATTACTTGTTATACAGGATAGGACATGCAATTTTGTACCGATCATAGCATTTTTTTCATTAGACGTGATTCCCCGCATCCATACTCGTGATAGTCAACGAATGTTAATGAATAGCTTTAGTTGAGGATCTTGTTTTTCATGAATGCCGTTGAAATACGACCTAGATAATTGTTCCTGAGACCCCTAAGTTGCCGTGTCAGGAACTCAATGCGTTTCTGTCACATTCAGTTACCGCCTTTATTTTCCGTTTCCACAGAGATGCGTCCAAAAAAAGCATTATTGTTGAAGAAAGCGTTGATGAAACGAACTACCATTATGGACTAACCATTACAACTGGCAAGAAAAAACCGAAAAATTTTAGGTGGAGCCATGATGAAAACCTTCGCTACGTCGGGTTTGGAAAAAAGGGTGTCTCACTGAGTGAATGATATAGCGACAAGAATCTGCTCCATAGTTAGACAAAGTAAACCTATTTGAGCTACAGCATGGCCTGATACCTGATGAAGAGAATCACCATTCTTAGAAGACGACTTTACAGCGCCTTGGCATATATATAATAGTTTCTTTGAAATTAATCTCACATCGTAAGGTTGATAAATAACTTTCATTCCATGAACGTTTCAACGTCTTCGTCTTCTTCAGAGGGGATGTTTCTAGTCGACTTCTCGTGCGTCCTTGGAGACGAAGACAACGAAACCCTAACCGGATAAATCTTACCTATCATTCTCGTAGCATTCCTATATCATAAAAGATGCTTCCACTGTTTGAATGAGCCCTGATATAAATCGCGCATACAAGAAAATTTCAGGTCTGTGAAAAAACCCATCCACGTACCAAAGACAGCAAATAAACGATTTAGAGCAAAAGCTGAGGAAAACAGCTCATCATAGATGGAGACATAGATCATGTGCGATTGAAATTGATGAACTTTCAATCTGAACTTGGACGAACCACTGAGAAAATTCTATTGCTGATCAGAAACGATAAAACGAAAATGCTCTTGGCGTTGATCAAAATTCTGAGAGATACACAGTGCATTCGTCTTCATAAAGATTCTCTGAAGTACTTGAATGCATGTCTGGCCTTTGCAATGACTTGAGGTGGCCTGCTGATTTCAGATCACTACTGCGACCCTCCCAGTCGGGTGTGCTACCAATTCATCAACTCCGGAGGGATAAAAATTTATTCGGCCAGCGTTGCGATGTCTTCGTCTTCTTCAGAGCCGATGATTCGAGTTGATTGCCGTTCTCATTGTGTATCTTCGCCATCGCTGTCGCTCACGTAGAATCTTCTTCTGTGACGAAGAGGACGAGAACGAACGACTATGAACAATCGACTCTAATCACCGGTTCTGAAGAAGACGAAGACATCGGAACGCTGGCCGAATACATCTATCAATCAACCTCAAAGTTTTAGGTAAAATACGAAAGACGCTATGGCCGGTCCCTTACGTCGAGATCAAAGTTAAGTTAATTTTAAACTATTACGCCAATCGTTTCCATGGATACTGTCATCAAAAGAAGAAAACAAGAAAAGCTTCGCTATGACGAACATGAAGGTTGATAGGCATAATGTACTAGTAGCAAAATAGAGTGAAGTAAATGTGGAGTATTCTAATAATTAGTCCTGTTGGTGCTAACAAGAGCTGTTATCAAAGTTAATCAATAGATTGAGATTGTCAAAAATGTAGTCCCTTTGAGCTATACTCTATAATAAGGCAAAAAAGGTATCTCTAGAGTCAAAAACAATATGAAGATTTAGGCTGCATGTATCCAATTAGATTAAAAAGGTACGATAATAGTAGTAATTTGAAGAAAAAAAGCTGCTACAAACACTCACAGGTATGCTGTTCCTCACAGGAGGCTCTGGAATCGGTTCCTCGTCGTAGTCCAGTTCATAGATGTCTGAAAAATCTTGGAGTAATTAGATCCCATCTAAGTTCATTCTTGGATTTCTAGGTATCTTATAGCAGGCCTTCGAGCCTCATTATAAGATTCACGGTGCCTTTTTGTTCACTTAGTTTCTCGAGAATCTATCCCTTACACAGAGGAGTCGACAACGCACTTTCACACTCAAAGTACGACGAAACAATCACCGTCATATTCTTTCGGAATGCTTAGTTGTCGAGCGATGATTGTCTGACATCACGGTGATTGTTTCACCGTACGTGATTGTAAAATGTTCGTCATCGACTCCTCTTTGTAAGGGATAGATTCCCGGGGAACTGACTTAACAAAAACGCACCGCGAAACTGATGAGGCTCGAAGGCCGAAACACGTGTCTTGCATTGCATAAGTGCCGTAGCAGACTTCACGATAGGTTTGAAATACATCGCCAGATTGTATTGTTCATGAGAAAGATCTCAAAATAGCCGATTGCGTTTACTGTTGCACTGGAACCTTTGAGATGCACTTTAAACGCTTCAACAACTATGGATAACTAAAGCGTGAGGGGCGCAGTGACCCAAGAGGTTAGTGGTGCTCGGGGGTTGCTCGGCAATCAACGTACTCAAGACTGCAAGGAGACTGACAAGATCAGTAACCTACGACGTTCATGGAGAAGAAATCCTCAAGCAGGCAATGCATGCGAGGAGTCGAATCGAATGCTAGAAGTAGTGGGATCCGCACCATCAAATGTGAAAAATGGTTACAGGAAAAAAAGAAGCTGCGGCGATGTACAAGAGATTGCAGTGCCGGGAGTTTGATTAACGTGTGTTGTTAGAAACCCTGGACCTCGCTGACTGCAGATTTCTATTCAAATTTGCCCTCCTAACCTTCTCGCTGTTGTTTCCAAATCAAACTTCCCGGATTCCAATCATACCGCTTTATCATAATGGCAATTTCTATGCGAACAGCTATCACTGCGGATCTCAATTTTTCTAGCACTCAGTTCGTTTCCTCGCCTTTGTCGTTCTAAAGGACCTTCGAATCTTTGCCAATTGATTCGACGCTACTTGAAGATTTCGTCTTCTCCGTAAATGCCGCAAACACTAGTTGGTTGCATCTACTTGCGATATTGGTCATAGTTACGATAGGGTATTCCTGTATGATTGCAGGAGTGATGAGAGAGTGGGTCGAACCAGGGCATTGTTTCCTTAAAACGTGCACCACTAATCACTCGGATACCGCCCTTTTCCACAGCAATAGTTCTATAATAGTAATGCAGGAATATATAGACAGATAAGAATGAAATAGACTAGTCTGAACCATGGGAACGACAATGAAGACTTAAACCAAGCGCGAATCAAGCCGAAACCTTTTGGTAGAGTTGAACCACTTACATTCACCTTATAATGATTAGCGTGGGTTTCCAGGCTAGCGTTAGGTAAAGATGAGATTAGAAAAAGAGGTTCAAAAGGGAACAAATAACATTACTTTAGGTGAAGACGGAGGTACCTAGAAATTGAAAGTGAAAGACATTTGAAAACGAAAATACGTTAAAAAGAGCTTACGAGACAAGCACAGAAGTACATGGATGGTAAGGTGCATCAGCAATTCCAAATAGATTTAATCAGAAAAAGGACAGACAACATTTGCTGGATTATGGAGACTATTGTCTGTGATCAACAAGATTTCTTATTCAGCCACATTTTTAGCGGTGGCATGATGCTACAAAAATTCCCAATGGTGTTGAGTAAGGTGCTGAACTTTCATGTCACACGGAAATCGAACCCGCATTTCATCCTTTTCGGGAGCGCTTGCTAACCAACTGCACTACCGGCGTTAGCATCTTCCAGAGTAATTAGGATCACTGCCGATGTAGGTTGCCAAGCCAAACCTTTGACGGTTGGTTGCTGATCGATTGATGCCTTGCAGCGCAAAGAGTGGTGGCAAAACAAGCGTCAGTAGTGCAACTGGTAAGCACGCGTTCGGGAAAGGGTAAAATGCGGGTTCGCGTCCCGCCCGACGTCAAAGTTTCGCACATCACTGAACATCATTGAGTATATTTGTAACATCATACCACCGCTAAAAATGCGGTTAAATGAAAAGAATTCTAGTTGAACACATATATCCAATATCTCTAAGGGTAACTACTATCTGTATAAATCTGCATGTTGTAAAAGAAAATGGCAGGGGTGAACTACTCTATCATATAGTACATATACTGAGATAGATACGCATCAATACCAGTAAGCTAGAAGATCGATTTCTAACGCGAAATCTTGCCCTCTTATTTTAACCAGTAACGCTGGTTACATAACAGTCTCATAACATCGACTGTTTTTTAAAACCTCACAGTAAACATTCAAAAAAATTCCAAAAAAGGGAATGTCTAAAGCCTAAACGAGGTTGGGACGCCAGGGCCATACACCGGTGTTTCGGAGGTTTTGGCCTCCTCGTTAGTGACCAAATCCATCGACTGAAAAGTGGTGATGGACCAGTGTCATTGTACACTATGCCATCACCACATACGCCTCCCTCCTTGCTACAATGCAGGGCTTAATGTGGGGCGAGGGTCACTGACGAGGAGGCCAAAACCTCCGAAACACCGGTCTATGGCAATGGTGTCCCAATCTTGTTTAAGCTTTGGACATTCTTTTTTTTTTGGAATACCAGTCTCAGTCAAAACTCTCAAGGATCACATAACGAAACACAATCTTTCTTGGTCAATCTCCTTCAGCGGTGGCATGATGTTATAATAAACCCATTGATGTAAAGCGATGTGTAAAACTTTTGCAGCAGACGGGACTCGAGCCCGCATTTCAGCTCTCTCGGGGAGAACCTGCTTGAACCGTTGCACCATTGACGCCTTTTGACATCACTCTTTCTATGCTGCAATGCATCTATCTGCCAGCAACCAAAGCGATAGCGACGATCTGGGCCGAACCGTTGACGATTGGTTGCCGGCAGATAGATGTGTTGCAGCGCAGAAAGAGTGATGGCAAAACGGTAGTCACTAGTTGAGCGGGTTAGAGCACGCGTTTCCTGCTAGAGTGAGGTGCGGGTTCGAGTACCGTTTGACGCGAAAGTTTTGCACATTACTGTACATCAGGTGGATCACATGATGATTGGTAAAACGCTACTGCATATGACAGATTAAGCAAAAATATCTCATAAGTAAAGAATGTTCTCTATTAGAGGCCGGAGCGCAGTGGTTAATGATACAGTGCACCAGAAAGCGAGGTGATATGGAATACCCTAGTTCAGTTCCCCCCTCCCCCTACGACACTTCTTTGCAAGCAATCAATAAAAGCTCCAGCTCGGCTTCCTCCGAGATAGCAAGGATACTCGTCCCATCGAGGATTTTACGACGACTACAAAGCAAACGGAATCCTCCAGCAGCAGCAGTCGAAGCAACACGTGAAATGTCCGGAAAACTTTCTGGAGGATGAATGCAAGGAGACGGATCGAATGCAAAAAGTGCTGGGATTTCAGGTAACTAGGCAAAAGGCGATTCTAAAAACTGCAAGAAATCTATAACTTCCTATATAAATTAAAAAGTACAGTTTCGAATGGTTATTAGGGAGCTCTATTGAGCGCATCTCGGGAGGATTCTATTCAAACATATTGGTAATACTTGAAGAAGAATTTTAGGTTCACGGAAACTCTGGACAATTGAGGCTTAAAAAACGAAATAACCACACCATTTCAGAAGAACAAAACTCTACTTGGGCTAGAAAACCCTACTTGGGTTAAAAATCTCGAGAACAGCTGAGAAGACCTCCAACGAGGAACCGAACGTGTAAAAGTCAAAATGAACAATAGTAGATCCGCATCAGTAAATTGAGAAGAAGGGTTGTGTAAAACAAAGTAAGTGCAATAAGTACGGTAGAATTATAATAATAATATGCTTGATGATCATTTTTTGAGCCACGCATGTCAGTGGTCTATCAAAGAGGGTTGACATAACGCCTGATACACGTGTTTCGATCTTGCGATTTCGTCAGTCGGGCAGTTACCCTTTCTCGTCTTTTGCTAATCCTGTGTGGGTGCTCTTCTCTTTGATAGACCACTGAAATGCGTGGCTCAAAAAATGATTGTCAGGCATATAAAAATTTGAGCTGTGGTCATAAGAAATTACTTGAAACGAAAGATATAATAATAATAATAGTAATAATAATCCTCTCGGTGTTGATCAATTCCTGGTGGACGCGCCGTACTTTCGTCTTGAATTTTCAACTTCGTTTGAGATGACTGGATGCATATTCGGCCTTTACAATGACTCGCGGTGGCCTCCCGCTATATCGAGTCAGTAATGTTTATCCTCCCAGAAAAGTCTGAGACCAATTTACCAGCCTCGGAGGGATGGATGGCTTCGTGAACCACGAGCGCCAGATCGAACCATTGACCTCGTGTGCGACGACGCACAATACCTCTAACCACTGCGCCATATGCCTCTAAGTATAGCGGACTAGGCAAAATTATAGAATAATGATTATGTCTCAAATTAGATAAATAGATAAACAACAAACAAACAAACAAACAAACAAACCACTTGAAGCCATCAAACGACACTTCGCGTCGAGGCAACGGCAGATTCGTCAAAAGAAGAGCAAACACTGAAAAATTGCAAATACATAGGCCCAGGCAGATGAAAATAAACGCAAACAAGTAAACAAAACACAAAAACAAACAAATAAACAAACAAACAACAAACAAATCCGAGGAATTCCAAGCGAGAAAAAACAATGAGAAATATTCTGCGCACGCAAATTTACAGACAACGTAAGAGAGGTCTGATGAGCACGCAAATTTGCAGACATTGACGTCTGTAGTGCGAGCCACCACAGTTCGTCGTACGTCTTTATTCCATCGCCTCAAATTATCCGGCTTAATCGTCCTTCGTTCATACAAAGGTCCATTTTTCAGACGATATCCTTGCTAGGAGCGCATTTGGTCCAGTGGTTAGAGGTGCTCTGCGTCGCACACGAGGTCAATGGTTCGATCTCGCCTTCAAGGCTCACCAGGCCATCCATCCGGTAAATTGGTACCAGACAGGTCTCAGACTTGTCTGGGAGGATAAGCAGCACTGACTCGGTACAGCGGGAGACCACCGCGAGTCATTGTAAAGGCCAAATATGCATTCAATCACCTCAAACGAGGTTAAAAATTGAAGTCAAATGCATGGCGCATCCCTCAGGGATTGATCAACGCCGAGAGCTTTATCCTTTTTGTTTATCCTTCTTAGCTTACGGTGCTCTAGGTCTGGTACTGTAGGCAGTACTCCGAATGTGGTTCAAAATTCACGTATAGAGCCTTCATTCCCTCAAAAGTATTCGTTCTCAGCTAATAACCCCGTTTACATCTCAGTACTGAGTCGTGGTACTGCAGACGGTCCTCTAGGCTGTGGTGCAATTTTGCGTATTGAGCTTTCATTCACGCAAAAAGTGCACTTTTGAGATGGTGACTTTAGTTCTTTTCTGTTATCGGGAACAAATGAAGCTACCCCTTTTGCTCTACAAAGACTTTCTATTGAACTCTGCAGCAATCAATCGAAAGCGTAAATCTCTGGCTACTGCGCTACGTGGAAATTTTTTTAAAAAGTCTTTTTATTACGCTGTAGCAAAAAGAAAAACATTTGTGTTTTGCACACGCGCATTTCTCGCAAAGGAGAGCTCTTTCTTCAGCATATAAGTAACCATTCGATAGCTTAAATCTCGACGATTCCAACGCTGTGCTTTTTTTCGTTTCGTTGCAGTGTAGCAAAGAAAAT